ATAAACAAACAACAAACAAAGGATATGTAATTACTTGGTAAATTAACTTGTGTCAAATATTTGTAAAATATATCAACCAGATTTCATAAAATGACAAAAAATCCAGCCTGTTGGATGATGAATGTGATATCATCTGGTCCTTAATTTTGCATAGTTTTACTTCAGACTTGCTGCTGATTTTTATTTTTATTTTTCAAAACATGTGTTGAGATATTTTGTGACTAAGTCAGTGATTTCAAATAAAAAAAAAAATTGACTGCTCTATTAATATTACCCATTACATGCTTTTTTTTAATCATTTTGTCACAATTTTCTATCACCAACTATAGCAACAGGAAAGACACTTGCAGTAGGAGTACTAGACTGACCTTGATAAAAAATAAAAATAAAAATCTCACTCACTCTAGTGATTTATTTAATACGACACAGAGCTGGGGCTGTTCTACTGTATTTTGAATTGAATCTCCACTTGTATCGCGTGCCCATCAGCTCTGTGTGTGAAAATCCAGGATCCCACACAGAGTGTCGCTGGATTGTGGAAGACAGACACAAAAGCACAAAGTCATAAAACATTCAGCATCATTCAGAGGCTCCTGTACAGCTCACACTTAGACAATGTGACATTCAAAACAACATGAAGAGCAAGGCTGTCCAGGAAGTCAAACTCAGGAAATATATTTTATTTCAATGATGGTAATAAATTATAGCAATGGGAAACAACTGGTGGGAAAACATGACTATATTTTGTGAATCTTTGTTCTACTCAAGGGAAATGGAACATGAAGAACAGTCAGAATGGTACAGTGGTGACGTGTGAAAGATTTTTATTGTACTTTTTTGCTTAGGCTACTTTGCAGCAATTGAAACTTATCTTAACTATAAAATAATGTTTTTATCTGCATATTGAACACTATTGAGAAATGTGTACACAAGGTAAAATATATACACTAAACATGTTCATGTTTAGGTATAACACCTACATATTGGTGGGAAACTTTTTTATCCTGACATAAATATACTCTTCTTCTCCTCCTCCTCCTCCTCCTCCTCACTTTTTCTCAAATAAAAACAGTACCTGAAGATGGAAAAAACTACCAATCAACCAACTTTGAGATGAATGTGCTAAACTGTGCCATTTGAATGCTTATTGCATTTTTCATTTGACGTATTAAATGCATAGGCCTGAATGTTACAAGTAAGCCACAGGTGTAGTTTCTCAGCATATAATCTTATTGAATTTAAATGAGGCATTACATATAAGGATGGATGAATGGTTATAGAGAAATAGTGTTGATGAATTAAGTCACTTACTTTAGTTTTGATGACAAAATGCAAATGTATTTGGGACCACAAAATTGAGAAGAAAATGAAATCATAATATATTGGAACTGCACGCGTTTTAAATTAGGCAACTCTATTTGGGATGGAAACACAGTCTATGAATAAATTGGAAAGGCTGGGTGTATTAAGCCTTTAATGTTTTCAAAGATTCTGTGTGAATGAGGACTTTAATTTGAACTGTTTCCTTCTTTTTACTCCAAGTCATTAAACTTTGAATCAAAAAATCAACTTTATTTTTCCATTTTTACTTGAAGTGTAAGTGTCTCCTTTTGATTTATAGTCATGGGATAAAATGCGGCCCATTTCATATGATTTGGTGGTTATCCCATTTTACATTTTCATCAAATGACATTCTGGGGGCCATATCTGTAAAATTGAGAAATCATCAGAGCTGAGGTAGTGGGATATTGGAAGTTCAGCTTCATCAGCAGTCTGTGCTGCTGAAATGAGGACCTTCAGTGGGCTCCTTCATCGCCCCTCCTCCCCCTCAGTCGCACCACTTCACCATTCCAGCTTGCTTTCTTAAAGTCCCATATCTGTGCTTCTCATTTGACTCATCCACTCACACTGATCTAACTCTATTTTATCTTCACTTGTGGGCAATCTTTGGATTAAAGTTATGCAATGTTCCACATGTGCCTTTTAAAAGAAATAATAAAGACCTTTTCCTAATTACCCAAAGTGTGCATTTTGAGTGGTGTGTTAGACCTTAATTTAAATTATGCCAATCCTTACAAATATGACAAAAATATATAAAGTGTTATTCTAAGTCTTATTTTAGTACTAAAGATACTGTAAAGGGGATTGCTTGTAGCATATGGAAACAGTTTAGCCTGATACTGAATACAATATGTAGTAATAAACAGTGTAGGTTTTTTATCTTTTTAGTTTTCAAAAGACAGTAATATGATAAGACAGTAAAAATATGATTGCAGAGCTAAATATCATAACATTGGAGCACTGGGAGAGTTCATATTTTTATTTAGAAATAATTAATTTTTCAGAATATCCAATCAATAAGATGTAATTAAATTGATACATTATTAATTATCACTCTGTCATTTTCCTTGTAATTAAAGGCTAAAATGCTGCACCATCCAAACACTAAACCTCAATTTCATTCTCATCGGACTGCATCCTCATAAGTGGTTGGCTATGTAATATGCAATGCGCTGATGGCTTATTAAGATCTTTACAGTCATTTAATCTGAGGCTGTGGTCAATTATATCTCTCCAGAGGAGCATTGCAGTTTAATTTGATATAAACAAAACAATAGGCTGTGAAGCTGTGGTCATGATGGAAGCTGATACACCCTCCTCTGCAGTCTGTCTCTCCACAAGCCAGTGCAGAAACTCGCCAGTGGCTGTGCGAGTGCTATCCTCCTCCAGGGACTGCTGCTGTTGTTTGTAAACAATAAATAATATTAATTTCATGCCAGACACCTTCATCCAATCAATGCATATCGACCAGGAGAATCACTTGTCTTTATGGCTTGCATATATTCTGAGTGTAATTGTGCGGTTTACAGAGAGATGCCGTGGTACAAGTATCTATGTCATACAAATGAGCCTTGTGCTAATGTTAATCTATGAAGATGGGCTTCATAAGAAACAATCTCATTATTACCTCTACATAGTTCAGATGTACAGGAACTAAATTGACCATATCTGTACATATAATATTTTGGTTCCAATGTGTGACTGCCCTTAAATGTTTTATTCTGTCTGTTGCAGACAGAAAAAAAATGGAGCAAACACCACATAGCACAGTAAATCTACACATGCTTGACCAAGTTAGCCACCAGTACTGGTTCAGTTTAAATCTAATTAAATATATATATATATTTTTTTTTTTACCAGTATGGGCTCTACCTGGGTAGTGGGCATAGGAGAATTTACTGTAGACTGACACGTCTGTGCTAATCATGAGCCAAGTGGTTGGACCATCAAACTCTTTGCCAAACCTTCTGCCTGTAAGTACAGCACAATTACTTATAATCCCCCAAATTCTGAGTCAGAAACTTCTCTGAGTTGTGACCCAGTCAGATGACAGACAGCCAAGCCGAGATGTGTAACACAATAGACCTGTACACAGCACTTTGATGAAACTGGCCCTGCGTCTCTTTGGATCACATGTTTTAAATAATTCAGGGTGATACAAGAGGAATCTGTCTTGGCCTCTATGATTGATTGAAACTGAACAAGCTGCTCCCAGTCTGCAGATATATTGTAACCCAAGCTATTGACGAGGGAGAAAATTAATTACAATGCCACAAATCGATGGACAACCGTATGTGTCATCTCCCTCAAGAGCTTTGATTGTTCATTGAAGTCAGATAGAACGAGCAAAGGGCAAAAAATCTACACCCAGAAGAGAGTAGCCTATAGAATATGTGGTGCAGGCGATGGAGCAAGGTCATACACGTCTCTAACTATGCAAACCCCCTCTACAGAACTTAAATATTTCATAAAAAGCCAAGCCTAATTCCGTCTCTGCAAAATGCTAATGTATTAAAGCAGGCATTTATATACATCACAAATCCTCCCTTAAAATGACTATTGCAGCAAAAAGGCGACACGCTGTGATGCCTCCAGCTTGCAGCCGTTGATAGGACATGGGGCAGATTAGCAAAAATGAGAGAGATCATTACAAGCAGCCAGTGACCAGGCCTGAGTCACTGGCTTTTATATACATATCTGTGCATGTCTCTGCTAACACTGGCTATGTTGGCTGTCAGGGTTTGATCACAGAGTCGCCGCTTTGGAGTTATCTGTTTGGGCATGCGAGGATGTGGATGCATGTGTCTTCTGCTTTGTACTGCTGCTCCGCCTGTGACTTTGACCTTTAGAAGGGGGGTACTGGGAACGGAGCGAGGAGCCTTAATGAGTTTGTATAATAGCAGCTCTCTATCTAAGGAATCATCCATCTACATGAGCTCCATAATTAGCTGGTAAGACAGTGGTCCAGTCCTGCGCTTCCACTTATTATTCTGCTGACTAGTATGTGGGAGTGGAGAAATGGACAAACAAAGAGACAAAAACCTCCAGTGAAGTGTATTAATAATGCACTGTCCATTCTGGCAGGCCTTGTAAAAAGCATGGCTGAGGAGCCTTATAATCACTCCACTGACACCGAGAAAATGAGGAACAGCTATGTGCAACATAAGTCACCTCCCGGTCGGAGTTTGCTGACAGGTGTAGACTCTCACGGGAGCGCTAATCCTCATTCTTCTTCGTACTGTTTGTCCGTCAACACTGTATACTACTGCACTGTACGCATTAGGAGCCCCAAGATAAAGTATGCACACATATTTAACAGAAAAACCAATGTATGCAGTTGTGATGTGAGTAAATCTGTATGCAAAGTAGCGTGTACATGCCTGTCAGACAAACTGAATGTCATGATCCATCATTTTCATGTGATGTTGTATAGGTTGGAAATATACACATGCAGGGCTAAATCATTTCCATTCTGTTGTGCGTGCCATCTGGGGTTAGTTTAGGTATGTAAATGGATACTCAAAGAAATATCACTAGCCTATAGCAAGGGGCGCTGTAGGACCACTCCAGTCCACTCCCTCCGTAAATTCCACTCCGGGTTTCGCTGCTCCGCCGCTACACGCTGCCTCTACCTTCCCTCTCCACAGTCCAGCATTGCTGTGCAAGCAGATGTTTTGCCTCTGAAGCCAATTCTCAGCGCATTCGGACAAGGTATTCTTTCACGCGAAGCCAACAAAGTGACGGCAAAGAGAAGAAACTGCCCCCTGGTACGGTCTGGAGTAGACAAAGACTGTTTAGTGACTGGATAGTGATTCACAGAGAAGAGAAGCGGCGACGAGCGCGAAGCAGCAGTTAATTTCCCTACACCTGTGATGCGTTGTTCTGAGCAACGAGGACGCACGAGCGGGATACAGATGGCCACAAATCGGCACGAGGATATGTGTTGAGGAGAAGAATTGGGCGTTGTAAAGAAAAGGCGTAAAGTGCCACAGTGGACACTCTCCGGACCTGCACCAGCCCAGTGCGCACTGCTCTTTCTCCGCTCTTTGCCTCTTGAAAGTTGGTTGATTAAACCCCACCAAGATGCCCTTACTTCTGGGCCCCTTTGTCCGCTCTAGACTCGGCGCTACGCTCCTCGTGGTCTGGCTTCTTCTCGACGGCTTCACCTGCTCTGGTGAGTGCATCATTCTCAGTTCTGCGCAGTTACGCTGGCAAGTTCAGCAGTGTTGTGTTCAAACGAACGCTTTAGTTTTGCATTAATCTGCTAGCAGTAACACTTTCTAATTAGCACGCACCTTCAAGGTTACACTGGGACTAAACGCTTAAGACACAAGATTAAAACTTAAACAAGCTTAGTACTGAGAAAACTGTATTCATGTAGCTTTTATGTGGTGTAGGGTAGATTTTGTGTTTTCTATAGCGCGTAAATGTGCACGTCCGTGTCATGACAGAGTGGAAGTTGAGCTACACCTGCATGAACTGAGCCGGGGCTGTTCCAATCTGACGGCACCGGGTGAACAATGAAACTACTCATCAGTGAATTTTGACAGTTATTTGAAACCGCTTATGATTTTAATAATCATATCTTTTTATTCATTAGGCTACATCTGCACAACATTGTGCATTTATGTTTGTTTTCTGTCCTTGCTTGGAAGCCCTTATCCGCTATACAGCCCCACGTTTCTCTCCTCCTGGCCATTCATTCCTGCTGCATTTGCACTGTGCTGACAGCTTTACGAAGTCAGGAGACGACCTACTCACGCTGATGAGTTGCATTTTATTATGGGGCTCTTGGTTAGACGCTGCCGTACGTGCAAAGGCGCACAGATAAAACAAAAGGCATTTCATTCACGGAGCTATCAGACAAAGACCTACTATAAGTCAGAGCGAACTACTACCAGAGCCAAAGGCAACGTGCGCATTTGCTGTAATAGGCTAGGGATAATATTTATTATTTTTAGGCAAGTATAAGTAATTCTGTATTTAAGTATTTTTGGGTTATTTTCTTATCCCAAGTTGCAGTCTTCACAATCACTTCTGTTATCTTTTCCACATTTATGTGGACAGATAGTTAATTCTTTACTTCATGTTCTTTTATGTCATTAAATAGCCTAAATAATATTCATTCGTATAGCCTAATCCCACACAGCTGTCTCCCCACACACCATTTGCTTCGTGCTTGTTTCCGAACTGTTAACCTCACTGTGGACAAGAAAGCAAACATGGTTATAATTGTGTCTCTTGCTTCGGGACACTGAGATGATGAATTAAAAAGGCTTTACTCTGGCATCAATTACTGGATAATTATGAATATATTAGGATTAAATAAACAGACTTGCTCTGGGGAACCCGTATATCAACTTTAAGATGCGTGCAGTGGTATTTACAAGTCTTTCTATAATCTTTAAGCTATATGTTTTTCTTTGGGGTTTCTTAATGTTATAGCCCCCCAAACAAGCAATTACTTCATGTTTGGGGCTTGTATGTTCATCCTTTGTTGAATTGCGCTCCCCTGGGTGCTCTGGTTTCCTCCCACAGACAGGAGAAATGCTGCTTTAGGTCAATTTTAAACCTCCCAATTCCCACAGGTGTGATAGTGTTTGTACATTCTATTTGTTCTCTCTCTGATAGAGTGCTGGATGGTGGCTCTGAGCTTTAACGAATGCTGCTGACCCTCAATGTGCAGTGTAAGAAAAGGACGTTTGGATAGATACATGGTTATGTGGCAAATGGTCAGTATAGTATGGCTAATGGGAAATGAGCATAATGATTTGTGCTGTTTAGATGAGGTTATAGTTGTCCTACATGGGATGTTGCTGTAACTGACAAGGACGCAATCAAAACCAACATATAAATCTGTAATATTTAAGGTTATTCCACATAGCAGTCATGTTTATAGAGCAATTTTTACATTTTGTCTTATATTTTCAGTTCATACACTGTCACAGACCCCTAAAAATCAAGACCTGTAACCTTGATTTTCAAGACTTGTTCCTGACTGAAATTAAACTCAAAAACATTATAATAAATTGCAAACTATATATTTTGTAAATGTGCTCCTTATGGTTACTGCATAATCATAATATTGTATGTTATTTTCGTAGTCCACATAAAGGTAGGTAGGCACACATATAGTGTTGTTTCTTGTGGGTCACTCTTAGGCACCCCCTTGTCCTTGTTAGTCTGGTACATACTCCATCATGTATTATAGGTCAGTACAATCATGGTTCTGAGCTCCCAACACAGCACATGGGCTACTTTTATAGGACAGCTACAGAAATGGATTGGGAGGTAATTTGGTCGCCGCTCCTTTGTACATCTGGGCTTGGACAGGCTCAGATGGGATCAGTCGATCTCCACTTAGCAACGGGACAAAACGCTGACTCCACATTTGTCTCCACCCAAAGCCCACTTGTCGTCGTTTTTTATGGCGAAACATAACTCAGTCTGTGAGAAAGGAAGGCATGTCAGTCTTGATTTGAGCTTGTGAGGTGCTTTCCTTTTTAGAGAATAAAAAAAGAAGGAAAATGTTTTAAATGTTCATATTTGAATTTATTTTAAACTTAACAGAAATGCATAGTCCAATATAACTGTGTATTTTCCGGCCAAATCAAGGTACCTTACAGTATTAAACAACCCATGGTGATTTATGTAGCCTTTTCATTCTCCTGTTTATGAAATAATAATAAATAATGATAGCGAAGCAATACATGCATTAAATACTTTCTTACATTTTATTCAAAAGTTAGCTTTTGTTGCTTTAAATGTAATATATTTATAAACAAAATAAATGTAACTAATTTGGTCATAGCATTTTTCTTAATACTCTGGAGTTCTAATGCATTAGGTGACATTTCCACATAATTTTTACTTTCTTCTCTGCCTTATATAAAATACATGCACACCCTTTCACTGTTGTTTTATCCTTTTCCTTTAGACACTGTCGCATGTCACCTGTCCCCAGTTAATTCCCCCTAAAGGACCATCCAAAACACACAGCAAAGCAAGGCGACCGAGTGAAAAATCCTGGATATGTAGTTTGTTTTTCTTTGTGCCCATTGAGAGCGTTGCCAAGCAATTGTTGTCTTGTCTTCATAGAAGGGAGCAGGGGATTTGGTATCAGGCATTTTTCCTACTTGTGTGCGCTGTCAACCTTAGAGCAATTTCCACGGGGTGTAAAGCCCGTGATGATGCAAGTAGATAACCATTAAGTGACAACAAGCTGAAATGTGTTGCGTAATACTCTCATTTCTAGATTTCCTTTTATTGGTACAGTCATAATAAATGGCTGCCTTGCCAGATGTCCCTCGTCAAAACATTGTAAATCTTTTTTGCCAACAGTTTAGTCTGTCTTGTACAAAAAGTGAAAAGTGTGTAAGATGAAGTTAACTGCGCAGAAAATTAGTTGTTAATTATTTTCATGATTTTTGATTTTATGATGACATTTTCTTTCCTTTGGTTGATACACAGGAGTTGGTTGTCATGCATGCGCTGTCTTTTCAGAGAGAGTTTTTCTATAGCCATGAATTCATGCAACGCCTACACAACAATAAGACAGAAAGGCAGAAGCATTTAGTGTTGCTAAATTTGTCAGTAAATTACACAAATTAGCCTCTTTATGCACAAATAATGGTCTGATGATCTGAGATAAAAACAAAACTTCACTGTAGCAATTATGAATTTTGAGCTCTGTAAATTACATGACGCAACAAAATCACATGTTTAGCCAATTAGTCAGAATTCCCTATTGGCTCACACATGAGCACATTTGATGGTAAGTCTGGTTGCACACTTGTATTTTTCAAAATGTCAGTGCTTGGCACAGCTACAATTGTAGTTATTTAATTCAAGGAACACAGGCAGAATACATTTTCTTTGATTAATGAGTACTGAGCTAATGGTTCAACCTAAGTTGCGTAAAGTCAAAAACTACACGGTGCCACAGGTCAGTGTTAAACAATGGTGCCACACGCTCGGTTTGATTACAAATGTCCAGACGCCTTATCTTTCAGTGGGCTATGTCCCTTATCATTTGCAAATGGCGGCTTGGTAAAGAGGAGAGAGGACACTGGGTGAGGCTGTGGATGAGACACATATAGGGAGGCGTTTGTTATTTTCTGCAGTCTGTGCAAGGCCCTGCAAAAGGCGCTATATCTCTGTCAAACTCTGCCCTTTTGTTTCAATTACCCCATTTCTATGTTTCAGGCCTATGTGAGAGTGCTTAGCAGCTGAAGTTGGGCTGTTTCCCAATAGAAATGGCCTGCAGTGTATATGTGCTGCTCTATCAAGGTAGCATAAAATTGACCTTTGACCTGTAATATGGGATGAGATTACCTCAATGGAAAAGCGGACCGTAATTCACAGGGGTACCTCGAGGAGGATCAGCACTTTGCAGATTGCCCTCAATCTACTGCTGTGTTTCTGTTGCTGCTGACCACAAACACACCACTTTATTTTCCAAGGCCGCTGCAGAGAGGTCACCGCACGCCGGAGATGAGTTCTTGGTCTTTTTGAAGAGCTTTGAGCAACCTTTTTACTGTTACTCAAGATGCCTTTTTATACAACAATGGACATCTTCTGTAAAATGGCATATTGTCTTATCCTGTGAACCTGAGCAGCTCCTTTTGAATTAAACACTATTTCACCTGCACCTTCAGCTACTGCTACTATCAAAATAGTTTGCACTGCTTATTCATTACTTCTACCTTAATAAATTAAACTAAATTACATAAAACTTCTACTATAATAATAACTAAGTATATTACACATTGACTTCAGATGGGTATTTATATCAGATAAACCTGACAGACCTGATGCTGTTTTCTTGGTTGAAGCTGGAACACCAGTGTGTTGTAAGCACTAGTTCCTGGATTGGCCTCAGAATAATGCATGATTGAAGAATTTCATCTCGTTGCTGACCACTGCATTACAGTTTGAAGGCCCACCAAGGAGAAGTAACAACACACTTGTTGAGGCGAGTTCTTGGTGTTTTTCTGGAAGCTCTAATCGAATGTTCTTGTCCCTGGGCCCTCTCTCTCTCATAGTGCTGGGAGAGAGGGCACATACAGGGCTGACCTTGAACCTCTAATGCAGCTGTGTTCTCTCGATGGGAGAAGATTACTCTGAGCACGCAACATTGGACATGTGAAGGTGAATAGATCAAAGGTAGACCTA